GTTCGAAGTATTAATTGGTCGCATTTACAAGTAGAGACAATATTTCTTGCACTGAAGAGTTCATTGAAGCGAAAAACCTTTTTCTCTCAACATAAATTAAATAAAATTCTTCTATCAATGTGAACATTTCAAAACAGGGTACCTCAGTATGCACAAGAAGTAGAAAGCTTTACGTAGAACAATATTTTCTAATTAAAGGTTGGAAAGCAACGGTCAACTACTCTATAGTCGTCGAATATCGTTGGTTTGCGAATGCAGTAAGTTTCCAAGAACATTCTTTCACTTCATTCCCCCAGTTCCCCAAATTATTTGGTGATGAATGTTCAAAATGATGATGACTGACTGATTCTTTCCCATATACTCTTTCAACTTTCATGAAGTATTGAATACGTGCAACCTTATCATAAAAACTTCATCCGCTCAATTTGAGCAATGATGCAAAAGTATTTCAGCTATGGATCTAACCTTATTCCCCTTCGACAAGCAGCTATGCAAACTGGGAATTGAAAGTTGTGAGTATTCATTGTTGCAGACTCAAAAAGTTATACATTTAAAACAGCATGGTCATAGAGCTAAGAAAAACGAAAAGCAAGACAAAGTTGTGCAGAATTAATAAGTTTGATAAATCTAATGACAAGTATTTATATCCGAGACGTGTTTCCCATGAGCTAACATTGATAATTAAAACTTACAAAATGATGTTTCAATTTATGCAGACTTAAAGTTTGTTTCGAGTTAGGTCTAGGCAATTCACTCATCACCCGCTTTTAGACTTAACCAAGTCATTTACCTATGCACTGATTTATAAAAATTTGAAGTATAAACTTCCAGATGGGTACACTGCTGACCAAGTGGTCTACAAATGGTCGTCAGGATCCCGTGCTGCATTGAAACTGCACAAAATTCGACTTCCCGATTTCACTATCAAGGAAGCCTATGTAACAAATCAAATGGAAACCTATGCAACAGGTTGGGTTAGATTTCGTCCGATAATTTGTAAGCTTTGTGATTTTAACCTACATTATAGGAAATTATTCCCGCCTCTACGTTTGCTTTGTATTCTCACGTTCTTCTGGATTCTGTTTCTTGCAGTTGATTATTCCATCTACAGCCGTTGTCATCACCTCGTGGGTATCGTTGTGGATGGAAAGTCAAACAGAATTCCAGGTTAGAATCACAAATCAGACATAGATATCTGGCGATAACGGTTCCAAAAATGCTTTTTTTTAAAATTTTCTCTCGAGATTCTGCTAATTCTAGGACATGATTTCCATTATCCTCGCTATCACCTTTCTAATATTTTCTTACAATGAGATGATGCCGCGAGTAAGCTATATCAAAGCAATGGACATCTACTTAGGTAAGCGTTTAACTCAAAGAGTACTAAAAACACTTTGTAATTTTCTAGGTGTATGCTTCATGATTGTATTCCTCTCGTTGATCAAATTAGCATTTGTTAAGTATATGAGACAAAAAATTAAGTTAGAGAGGTACGTTAATCTTTACCTTAGTTTCCTTTTGCTGTGTTCGAACGAATTTAGTAATACAATTTAGTGAAAGTTTTCACTCCATGAATGTTCTTATATCACCCACACGACCCGTAAATGGCATATTGCCGCAAAGGCCCGGGTCAAACCTTGTGCTTCGCAATGGAAAGTGAGCATTTTTCCAGCTTACAACAGCATATTTCATCTAAAATTTTACGATACATTTACATCCCGCAACAGAGAAAGCATAATTCGTAGAATCGAAAATTATTATGAAGAAAAGCGTTTTCAGGCTCAATACCGAATATGTGACAGTCCCCATGGCTGATATGGAAGACTCGTATATTGCTGAAATCGACAAAGGCAGCCTTGGTATGGCTTCTGAAATTTAGACCATATTTTTGCAGATTTTCGAAACACCTCCCCACAAACCAAAAACTCATCTTTTTCACCTTTTTGACTCTATCTCAGAAGGCACAAAGTATAGGTTCAAAGGCATTATTCTTATTACTCGACCTATCATGAATACTTTGAGTTAAGCAAAGAAAGATATATGCCACGTGAACTCTAAGGAAACGCAATAAATAAGAGAAATAAGTGATAACAATCAATAGCAGCTATAATTTGGATTAAACATACACTATAACATCCTTCTTTCGAACACTCCTTTCCCTAACCTACTTCTC